ACAGCTCAGTCAGAGAGCGGCTGATACGATACTATAAAGTCTTTAAGATAAGGTGGAGCTCGATTATTCAACACCTTGTATGTGAGGAAAAAAAGATTGCAACATGTGGATGCAAACCGAATCAATGGAACTATTTTCTTAATTAACTAAACTCTTTTTCTAAAATATTGCTCTGTTAATTCCCCCCAATTAAGATGATTTTATTAACTAAATAGAAGGAGAGTGATCAGCATAAAAAACTTTATGAATGTACTTGTATTTAAATTCCCCCTTTAGCACTGCCGGATGAAGAATTTCCACCTGCTAAGAAGCCACCCAGAGACCCTTTGCTACAGTTAGTCTCCCTCCAGAAGGCGTCTGGCTGCTGGCTGCTTGATCCAGCTCTGGCTGCTGCACTGGGAAAGACCAACGAGGAGGTGGAAAAGTCAAAGCCTGAAAAGGTGGGCTATTAAATAAATAATAACACAGTAATAGTGGGTGTTTGTAACGTATTCATTAAAATGGTTTCAAAAGTGAAATTTCAAAATTACACACTCATGTTAACGAACATCTGCATGCTGCCTCACTTAATTTAATATTTAACTACATGACTGCTGATTCTATACACTAGGCCAGCGGTGAAGAGTGGGCCACCATTCTGGCTCTGATCTGGCTTCATGGTTTCAAGATGGATGCAAAGGACGAGTGGGAGCTTCTGGCTACAAAGGCTGCCTCATGGCTCAGTGCGCAAAAAGGTAGTAAACACAAAAATAAGCATTCAGTTTGTGATGGTTATACTGAGTTGCTACAGTCGGTCAGTTATTAAGATGCTAATTGAATATTTTATTTTGTGTTTCCTTTTTTTTCCAGCACCGTCTGTGACAGAGTGTGTGGAAGCCGGAAATATATTGTTGGGTTGCAGTGTGCAAAAAACTGCCCTTGGCCTCTGAGTTTTTTATAAACTAACAACTTCTTTATGATTCATACACAGAAGCAGATTTACTTCATACTTCATCCACATT